ACTATAAATCATTAAAATAAAAACATGTGACAAAATGTGATTAACTATGTGACAAACTATGGTGTTATTTGGTGGATTTTGTTTTTAAATTTGGGCAAGGCATCAGCAAACACGTCCAAATGCGGGATTTTGGAGCATATTTTGTTGTATTCGGAACAAAGTCTATTTATGGGACAGTGTTTGCCAATGTTGGTGCGAGAGGCCGCTGTGTAGAATATATGATAAATAGGCTTTCTGGGGGGTCTCCTGGGTACTGAGATGTCAATGTACGACAGAAGGTGCTCGCTCTTAACTACCCCGTTAATAATTTTATAAAGGAAAATTAAATCGTGCATTTGCCGACGTTTACATAAGGTTTCCATTTTAAAAAAATTTAAACGCGTGTCATAAGGTGTTCTGTGAGATATTCCACTACAATTAAAGGCAAGAGATCTGGTAAATGCACGTTGTAAATTTTCTATCCTCTGTGATTGGACTGTATACGTGGGGTTCCATACTTGTGACGCGTATTCAAGAATACTTCGTACAAGAGCGTTATACAGGGAGATCTTGGTTTTAATGTTAAAAGGTTTTGTGTTTCTCTTTATGAAACCGATCATTTGTGATGCCTTCTTGACTATGGTTTCGATATGGGGTATAAATGTGAGTTTCTGGTCGATTATAATCCCCAGATCACGAACGTCATCGACTTGTTCAACAGATTCTCCATCAATTGTGTATTCAGCTGGATAAGCGTTCATTTTTAATTTGGTAAAACGAATGTGGTAACATTTTTTTGGGTTCAATTTCATGTTGTTGAGTGCACACCAATGTTGAATACTATTCAAATCATTTTGGATTGATTGTACGTCACAGCAAGATTTAACTGTCTGATATATTTTGAGATCATCGGCGAAGAGGGAATATTTGCAATGACGTATGTATTGAGTGATATCATTGATGTATACTAAAAACAGCAGTGGACCCAAATGAGAACCCTGAGGAACTCCCGATTTAGCATAATATACAGCTGATTCATACCCTTTAATTGATACTGTTTGAGGACGAGCGGTCAGATAGGACTTAAACCAATTCAAAATGGCACCATCAAAACCAATTAACTTTAACTTTTTAACCAAAATTATGTGGTCTACTTTATCAAAAGCACTGCTGAAGTCTGTATAAATGGCATCTACTTCACATCTTGCATCCAACGATTGGGATATATCAGTAACAAAAGAAAGTAAATTAGTTTGTACTGAATAGCCTTTCCTGAAACCATGTTGGTGGGGTGTTAAAGTATTATTTATAGTGGGATAAACGCTGGAATAAACTAGAGTCTCAAATATTTTTGAAAAACAAGACAAGATAGAAATTGGTCTATAATTTTTGATGTCATCCTGCGCTCCTTTCTTGTAAATTGGTAAAATTCTAGCCTGTTTCCATCGTTGAGGAAATCTGCCATCAGTAAGGGATTGATTGATGATTGCCACTAATGGTCGAGATAAGTGAGCAGCGCAACGTTTAGCAAACAGCGGCGGAATGTTGTCAGGCCCAGCACCCTTGGACGCATCCAAATCTTTTAAAACATTATAAACTTCGACTTCAGTATATTGACGATATACTGTAAACGTATTTTGTGATGTATGAGAGTCTTGGTGATCGCGTATTTGAGCCGAATATACAGAGGCAAAATGTTTGGCGAAGAGATTTGCAATATCAGAGCCGCTCTCAGCTATTACATTCTCAAGGTGCATGATGGACGGAATAGAATTTTTTTTTGGATTTTTTATCAAAAAACTTCCAGAACGACTTACTATTTTTAATAAGAGCATCCTGGATACTTCTTTTATAATTTGCATAGCACTCATCATACAGTTTGTTACAACGGTCTCTGATAAGTTCAAATTCAATTTGATCACGCGGATTTTTATATTTCCGATGCCTTAGCCTTAACTTGTACTTTTCATTTAACAGATTTATCATTGGCTTAGTGAACCAAATCGGATAGCCTTTAGAGCCACGTTTTATTGACTTTGGAACATATTTTTGAATAAGGGATTCAAGAACATCATAAAATATGGAAACCATTTCGTCTACAGTACTACATTGCATAAACTCATTATCCCAGTTCGTACGCTCCAGATCAGCCAGTATCTTGGTATAGTCTGCTTTGTAGAAGTTAAAATTAAGTCGAGTTTTAGGTGGAAGCATCTTTAAATTTACGTTTTCAAAAGTACATACTAGAGCAGGATGGTATTTGTCAATTTCCCGTAGCGGATCAGGTGTGCTATTAACTTTTATATTCGATAGATTGCTAAAAATTAAATCTAGGATTCTACCATTGCAATTAGTTATATTGTTAAACTGATAAAGGTTGTTAAGAATGGCGAAATCTATCAACGATTTCTCGATCGCACTCTGATATTTTATGGGATGCGTATATGAATAATCATTCCTTTTTTCCCATATAATTGAACCCAAATTAAAATCACCCAAAATAATAGCGTTATCACAGTGCTGCAATGCTATAGAAGCCTTCTCGAGAAATTCATTGAGTGTATCCAGTCTGGATGGAGGCGGCAAATATACAACTCCTATAGCTATTTTAATCAGGTTATTACCAACTTTTGTATTTATCATAATCCACAAATCTTCTCCATCAGTTTCCCAACTCGATATTCTACATGAATTGATATTTTTTGAAACAGCAATTAGTACGCCTCCTCCATCCTGCTTGGTTATTGGCTTAGACCCAGTGGCTCCACAGCCATTTTCAACAATAAATCTATCCTTTCGGTACACATTATAACGCGAATCTATAAGTTCACTGTCATATACACCAGACCTCAGCCAGGTTTCAGTAAATACAATGACATCATAAGAGCACAACAAAATATTTTTGTACAATTGATTCGTGCGCGTACGGATACCTCGAATATTTTGATAATATAGTTCAAACATTTTTAAACAGTAAGTTTAAAATCACATTACCTTGGATTACATATTTTCACCCTTAAACTAATAACTTAATACTATCCGTATTTCGAATTAATATGGCTTGGCTGGACTCGTTTTTGCGGACATAGATTCTTCCGTTGCGGACCCAAATAAATCTGTAGTTTAGCTCTTTAGCCTTGGCTCGCGTAGCAGCGTGAAGTGACTTGTTTGACGGAGTCAAATGCTCTGCAACATACACTGGCGATCGCGTACCACCAAAACCCAGATGATGAGAGTTTAGTTTCTCTTCTTTATTTTTTTTGTTAAATGTTTGAACAGCTGCCAACAGAATATCACGTTGTCGGGGCGTACGCAGTCTTGCAATAACAGTGCGAGGCCTGTTACTGTTATTCCTCAGCTTTGCGACTCGTGTTACTTGTATGATATCTTCATCTAAGAGATTTACATCAACAGTTTTAGCTAACTGTCCTATAACATTCACGAGATTTTCGGTCTTATGTTCCGGAATTCCATTAATTTCCAGGTTACTTTCGCGCATATATTGTTCAGTGAGATTTAATCGCGTAGTGAGATCTTTTACTTCCAGCGTTAGCTGATCATTTTCATTTTGTAATTTTTGGATAGTAGCAGTACTAGTTTCTAAACATTTCTTAAAATTATCATACTGATCACTAAAAAAGTTCATAGCTTCTCTAAGTCCTCCCAATTCGGTGTTAATGTCACTTAATTGATTGGCTAAAATATCGGATATGTTTCTAGATATGACTGATGACATTTCGTTTTTAAACTTTTCTAACATGTCTTGTAACGCTTCCTTTGTTACTAGGGTCTCAGAGTCGATACTGTCACCACTTTTTTGGATACTTTTTTTTCGTAATGTAATATTATTAATATCCATACTCTCACTTGATTGTGTGTCAACTACATTGCAATTTGATGGTCTAACTGGCGTATTCGTATTATTTTTCTTTGGAAGTTTGCTGAGACAACCTTGGCACTTCCAAGTAGACTTATTATCCTTAGACATTAAATGATATCTTTTTGGAGAGATATTCGCACAGAAGAGATCATAGTTTTGTTTACATTGGTGACAGCTCATAAATTCTTTATGAGGTATTTTATTACGACAGCCGGCACAGTTCATTTTTACGAGAATTGTAACAGGACAGAGAAACAATAACGCAAATTATAAATAAACTTAGAAAATATTCGGTCCGGTGGGGTTTGAACGTCGATCAGTCAGTCACACTGTTTAAACTGAAGCAAAAGCCACTGCGCCACCAAGCGACTACAATATATGATGAATTAGTTGAACATTAGCTGTGCTGTTTTTTCTCGAATAAAGTTAATGAGCTAATTGCAGTATAGTATTATTAAATCTGCACTTGCAAATGAGTAACTTAAATCAATACTTTAACGGAAAGTTTTAACACTATTAATTTGAAAGTTTTAACACTTAAATTAGTACTTTAACGGAAAGTTTTAACACTATTTAGTTGATTGTTCACTTATTTAGGCACAGAACGTTATTAAAATTTCACAGTACTTAAATTACTTCGAAACAAATAAAATTTAACAGTTTTTATAACTTAAAACACAATATTTACTTAAAATCTGAATTTAGAAAGCGGAGACAATAACACACGACATGCACCTTGCACAGATGCGGGTATATCCCTATAAAAATCCCTATCCCTATAATTAATCCGATCTTATGAATTTCAAAGACTAATTTTAAATCTATTTCAAACTTTGAGAATGTTTTCGTCTCCTAATCCGTGTTCGTATCGAATATTGATTGCTTTCAAATTAATTAATTTAGAGTTATTGACAGTACTGTAACTTGTACTAAGTGCTGTACTTGTTAGTTATTAGAGGTAGTCACTGAGACTTTAGTTAGTTGTAAATACTCCTCTGGTATCAGAATCCATTCATGTTATAATTTAGGTTAAGTGGGAAATTTATTATGTCCAAAAAGAGGGTTTCTGTAAGAGTTGTCACTTGTTCAAATAAAGACGACCATTTATTTAAAGTATCAGTATCACTAGAGTTGTATTAGAATGCATTGGAGAAGTCTTTTTATTCTGAATGGTGCATATAAAATCTAATTTCTCTTATTAAATTTATATTAAGGCTTAACTATAGACAGTTATATTTACAATTTTATAGACGTCATATTCAAACCCTTACTTGAAGGAAGTACACACTACTGTTGAACTCATATCCTTAAGTTATCGTTGACATACTTTTATATAGCCTCTACAGTCTAGAGACTGTTTAAAACTTAGTTGACGCAGTTTATGGAGTGTAAGCAATAAGTAAAACATTTAAAGTTATTTAAAAATAATATTTCTATCAGCAATGAGAGTGGATTATATTTCATATATTCTAGTCTTCTGTCTTAAAAAAGAATAATATTCTGTTTCAAATTCTGTTTCAAAAATTCTGTTTCAGATTTTAAACTATTTATCAAAGACAACAATTAAAAAAAACATTTTATTTTGTCCCATGAAATGCCTAATGTTTGTTAGTCAAGTTATATAGAAATGAAATGTTTAGTATGTGTTCATGGAAACAAATAATAAATTTAATAATATATTGATATGACTAATACTAAAAAAGACTTTTTAAAAATAAGTTATTATGTATCTCTAAATGCTTAAATTATAAATATATCAATTAAATCATTATCTTTTCCTAAATGTTTGAAGTTTCGTTTTATTCTGATTTAACTTATGTATGTAAGGATGTAAGGTTCTCCTGGACAGCGGTCAATACTCGCGTCGTCACGATAGGGTTTTAGAGATCATACGTGAAGCGGTTAGTCTTTCGGTAGCCAGAGCGCAAAGGGAAATAACCACAAACGAGCGATCAATAGGTTTTGTGAGAGAGGGCACCAGGGCTATAAAATCAAACGTCAAGCCTTACTCTATCCTTAAAGCGGCTTCGGATTGGACTATCATGATGGGTACGTATGAGAAACAATACAAAATCCCCGAGGATATTTGTGCGTCGGCCTCCAGACCAGACATATTTCTATATTCGCGTATTTTAAAGCGCGTTGTGATGATAGAGCTTACGGTGCCTTGGGAAACCAACATCCCCAAAGACCATGCCATCAAGGTCAATAAGTATTACGAGCTCACTAACGAACTAACTCGAAATAGGTTCGTCGTTGATTTGTACGCGGTAGAGGTGGGAGCGAGAGGTATAACAGCTAAATCTCTCTATAACCTACTAAAAGACTTGGGCCTGTCCAGAACTAACATTAATTCATTCTTAGAACGTACGTCGAAGACAGCCCTAGTAGGTTCTTTTCAAATTTGGTTAGGTAGGGAGAGGAACTTGGACAGTGGAGGTGAGCGTATAACGCGCGTTAGTTAAGGGGCCCCTTAAACCTACACCTGGGTCGCAAGTCCCAGGCACTGTTGAAGCTCCTCTCCCTGCAACGCGATGGACCCGGCACCCGCACGGTGAATCCATCGAATGCTAAGAGGTTTCGTCTCTTTAAATTGAAGCTAATGATTCCGTTACGTTCATAATAAATAAGGATTAAAATAGATATAATTAATTATTTTGTGAAATCCATTTACAAAACTAGAAATAAAATAAAACATAATACTTTGTTCGAAGTACTTGAGGTTATAATCTAACTTAGTTTTAGATTGTTTTCTTGTCAGTCAGATTTATTCTGTACTAATTCTATTTATCAATCAACGTTTGAGATACATACTTCAATAGCATCTTCTGTGAGGTGATGGTAATTTATTGGATTGTATTTAAACTTAAAGCTTTACTTAAATCTTTACTCTAGAATCTTGGACTTACCTTACCTTACGTCTACGCCTTACGTCTGAATACTTAAAATAATCTCTCTAAACATTAAATTTGTAAATCAAGTATGAGACTGTTAGTGAGATTGAGTATTTTGCTGTAAATATTTAAAGTATGTGACAAAAAAACTGATAACTAAAGGTATGTATGAGTATTAATTTGAAATTGTTTACAATATTTCCTACAACATACGTAAAAATCAGATCTCAGTCTATAAATAAGGTCAGTATAACTTTAACTTACCTGTATCACCTGGTACCTGAGAATAAAGTCATATAAGCTAGTATATGTATAGGTTTACTGCACATACTAATACTAATCTATTAGATAAGTTTTATCTCTCAGAATATAAGTAAGGTCTGCGGCTCTGGCATCTTTCTCTATCTATGTAGTTGGTTTAATTGGTTTAAGACTACTAAAAAAAATGTGGATTAATAAACTAGTGCTATTGTTATGTTCTGCATTTTTATATATAAAAAAAACTTTTATTAGTTTTAGTGTTTCAAAAATCTTTCTAATTTTGTTATTTATTATTTACAAATTAAATTATTAAAATACCGTTTCTTCCTTATTCAAATGTATGTATGTCAGTCTCAGATGTTCATATCTCCTCCCGTAATTCTTATTTGAACGAAAAAAAAATGTTCTTTATCTTGTCTATTTTTGGAAGATTTATTTTTTGTTTCCAATGTTATTTATAATCAAATTGAACTGAAACAAAACCAAAAAAAAAAATTTTTGATTATTTCATGGCACATTTAATATGAATAGTTAAATATAAATATTATTTTTTGGTTTAATTCAGATGTAGTTATTGTGAAATTAAAAGATTTCATACTATACAACATAAGTTAAAAATAACAACACAAGATTTTCTCTTGTGAACAGTTTAATAATACCACGTTTTTTACGTTTTCCAACATTTCTGACAAATGAGATGAAAGTGTCTCTCAGATAGTTGAGTCTTGTTATTTGTCATCTTCTGACAACAATCACTTAAACGTGGTAACGGACCTCCCATTTTACATTTTTTCCTCATGATAGACAATAGACAGCCAACTTCTTTATTGAAATTAGTATTTATTTTTATTTTAATATACTCGTGGGCTTATACATATTATAAAAGCGAGGTCGTGTGTTTCATATTAAACGGTTGTAATGGCTTATCTGAAACGACCTTCACAATTTATTATATATTTTTAATAAAAAAAGATGTTTATTCATTTAAATAGCTGCCAACAGTGTCTATTGTTCAACGATAACATTCGTAAGTTACTGTGAGCATGTCTGTATACCTGTTTCATCGCAGCTCACAAACGTATTTATCGATTCTGATAACAGTTTTTTACACTTTACTTGACTTATTTCCTTAACTATGTTTTTCTTATAATGGTCCAGCATTATAAGATTATTCGATTAAGGGTATATCCATATATGATAAATAATTAATTAATGTAGTTATATGGATTTATTTAAAATATTATATTGTATTATAGAAAGAATGAATATGTTTACGTTCCTGTTTGCTCCGAGAAGTATTCACTATCCTTCATCCAATGATCCAGGACTAGCATGTTTATTGTTTCATTCGCCTTTATTTTCACGGAGTACACAGCGCTCTATGCTAAACCTCCATATTACTTTCATAACATAGCACAGTCAGAACATAGCACAAGATAGCAATCAAAAATACTTTGTTAAGACTATAGGATGATAAAAACTGTTGTTGACTATTTTCATTTAATTTTGTTTTAATCTAATGTATTCATATATATATGCTTACAGGGACGTAATTTCAATTTAAATAATTAAGGTGACAATGCTGTTGTAAAAATATATAATACAAGATTATAATTGTCTCGTAAAGAGGTCTGTTTACCAATAAAATATTAATTACTGTAGACTTAATACAAAATTTAGTAACCGTGTCTATAAAACGTATGGCGATATGTATAACTTGGCTTTAAAATAATGTTCAATAGAGACATTGAATATATTATTCAGATAAAATATATGTGTGTAAAAAACTTTGTAATTATTCATATTTGATTATAATAATTGCTCAATATCATTCAAGTTAACAAAAATCATGTAATCTAATGTTGTTATAAATAATAAGTTAATGAAAACTGTGAGAGTAATTAACAATTTTATTAACGATTGTAGACCGTGAGAAAGTCATACTTTTCAGTTTAATGAATATTATATACCAGCCATACTTTGTGGTCTCACGAGTCACAAAATACCAGAAGGGGAAATATATGTTTGTAGGTGAAAGGTTTAAACAACCGTAAATAAATATCAAATTTTAAACATCGGAATGACAATACCAAAAATAAAATATAAATAATTTTATAGGTGTAACGTGGTTGAGAAATCTCATATTTATTTATCTGTTTATAATTAAAATGTAAAGCACACACAAAAGGTTAAAGCTTACGTGGGTCATTTTTCATTTTTTAAAAAGAACATTTGTTGAGTTGTTCAAAGAGTAACAAAATTTACTCAAAAGATAAAAAAAAAATACTTATTAATACTAAAATACAAAATTTTTTACTTAAAGAACAGTAAGTATAGTAGCTAATTCGATTAATCCAAAATTAATAGTTGTCAAAAAAATATTTTATAATAAATACAATCAACTTTTATAAATTATAACATAATAATAAGAATGAAAATTAATCTTCCGGTACCACTCTTAAATCATTTAGAGTTTTTATTTTTTCATGTTCAATATAAACTTTCTGAGAAGGATGTCTACGAGAAGTCGGCGGCGGGAAATATAATGACATTCAAGTTAATTTTAAACTTTCAAAGAAAAATGACAGGCTCTGGGACGATGAAGATGACTTACAATTATAGCTTTCAGAAGAAAATATGTTGATTTTGTATAAAAAACTTTATTAAAATATTTTTGATAACTTTATGAATTTTAAACAATTGTCAATAAAAACGATCATCTCGTCTGGCCGTGATCGCGGTTGATGCAAAGTAACTGTAACGTGTAGAGTGTGTAATTTTTTAAAATAATAAACTCACGCGTAGTAATCCGAAAATATTAGTTTCTTTTTTATTTACAAAAATAAAAAATACATCCAGAAAGTTGCAACCTCATAAAAATTTGACGGAATACTTCATAATTCTTTGTATAATAATTAAATATACTACTATTATAATAATATTGTAGATTCTAACAAAATATAAAACTTTATCTTTTTGGCTTATAATTTATATCTTTTTTTAATCTGACAAGGTTTTATATGATCCGATCTTGAAGTTAATTACGACAACATCACAACTATGAACATACATATACACGTCAGTCGTGTCTCGTGCGATGTAACCTGTTAGATAATAATCAATGTATCTCCTATTAACGACTCATATATGAATAACATTGGTTGTAAACACATGATTTCTGTGGTATTGAACTTATAAATATAATAAGAAGAAGTAAAAAACAGCTTCTTATTCCATAGTTACCAACAAACTTACCAATGTAGCCAAAGACATTTATCATTAATTTCTCAACACTGCACTTTTCCAGGCTTGAACATCATTTATCTTTGGAATTATGCTCGTACCATTGTTTAGAATACTGAGTTTTTGTATTGTTTAATTGTATACTAATGTAAATTAATATGTATACTTGCGAGAAAAAAGAATCGGTAAGGAGACTACTGACTGGCCTTATATAATGAGATCTACGACTCTGGTATTACATTTAGTCAGTGGTGATGATATTATCTATATATTAATAAAGAGGAAAGATTTGTTTGTTTATTTGTTATGAATAGGCTCCGAAACTACTGAACCGATTTCAAAAATTCTTTCACCTTTGGAAAGCTACATTATTCCCGAGTAAAATAAGCTATATTTAATTAAATAAAGATTAGGGATCCTTACTAAAACTCCAATAATGTAACCCAAGGTGTAAAAAAATGATCTGAAAAATTCCTCAAGTCGCGTGCGCTGCGAAAACTATTTATGATAGAACCAAATCATTTACTAAGACTTTGCAGAACTCATCATCATCTACAAAAAGTGTCGCGACAGCATATGTTAAATATTATAGTTATGTCACAGTAAGCGGTTTTTTATTCTAAAAATTTAATTTATATGCCGCCGCTTGAAAAGGCTCTTTTTTTGTACCTTGGTATTAATCCTTATCAAAATAAATTACTTTATATTCAAGACGGCTTCAATACCTTTTTATAACTCTTTGAATTATTCAATTCGGACATTTCATTCGGAAGATATCACGAGTTTAAAAATGCAAGTATTAGAAAAAAGTCGCGTGGTTGCCGCTCATCGCGCTCAGCTAGCCAACATGCGATGTAGGCTCCATGTAAGCGTCACTGGGGTACGAGGGGGGAGTCAATCACAACTAATATTATAAATGCGAAAGTAAGTCTGTCTGTCTGTCTGTCTGTTACGCTTTCACGCCTAAACCTCTGATTTTAAAGAAATTTGGTACAAAGATAGAGTTGACCTTGAGAAAGAACATAAAATAGTTTTTATCGCAGACTTTTGAAAAGGTTCTCTTGGAAACGCGATATAATCGAACTCCACGCGGGCGAAGCCGCGGGCGGAAAGCTAGTATACAATAAAAATAAACGACTATTAACATCTAATATTAAGAGATTGGCTCTCTATTGTTGAGGTTTCGTGTATTTTTTACTTGAAAAGATACTTTACTTTTTATTGAGCTCACAATTAATTCTGCTGAGATATATCTAAGCGCACGGTAGTGCGCCGGCCAAGTTCCACAGGCCGGCGCATGCCGTGCACTATATTTACACGAACCGTTTCGATATATATGTCTACCCAGCCGTTTTCGGCTACAGTGACTTAGCTTTGTTTTTTTTTTATTTATTAATAGTATGAAGTGAACTATCGTACGTCCGATAGACACACATATAAAAAGAGTAAAAGTAGTATGTAGTAAAGTAACGATTTAGTTTTTTTACTAATATTAAATGTCTTGGAGTAAAAGTAAGTTATGTTCCATTGTTCCTCGTACTCCTTTTAAAATATGTTTTTGTATATTTAGGAAGATACGCACGGACTGTTTGAAAATTTATAAATATTACCGCAAAATTTTACCGCTTTACTTTTGATTCCATTATTTAAAGTGTTTGACAGAAAATTCTGCCAACAGAAGGTGTCTGGTAGTATTCATTTGATATTTTTTACATATACATATAATAATCAGACCTCAGTCTATAAGTAATGTGATTACAAATTTAACTTATCTATAGAACCTGGTATCTGAAAATTGGCCGTCAGTATAAGATAATAGATATGCTTAGGTTTACTGTAGACACTAAAACTTATCTATTACATATTTTTTGTCCACTAGAAAATAAATAAGGTCTGACAGCTCTGGGATCTTTTACTATAAGTATTATTTTATAAAAGTATTACTCGGAGCGCACAAATATCATAGATAAATTTGAAACTTGCTATAAATGTTGTTAGCAAGGACATTTTGTACAATTTATAGTCTATTAAGAAACGGACTAAAAATTAATTTGGGAAGTATAAAATACCAATTTAAAAACCCTTCTAGATAGAGGCGTGATTGAAAATGTCTTTCAACCAAGAAAGTTTAAACACACTATAACTCTATAATTTAATTAATAGAAGAGTAGTTTTTTTATTAGACACAAAATTGCTGGAATCATTCACTTTATACAAAAATATACTTATACTCGTACAAATTCCAAACTCTGTAAAATCATTTTATACAGAGATTCAATTTGATACATCTCAATGAATATAGTTTTATTCGAACTGTTGTTCTTTTATCTGTCTCCGGATATAAAAAAAATATAGAAGAATTTTACAAACAATATCTTTATAATGAATGACAGTACGTTATTTTAACATC